CAATGAGCACAGCCTATCATATTTCAACTCTCTGATGGGCAGGAAGGTCTCTCTTTTTTACCCCGACACTGTCCAAATGCCTCCGCTTATAGTCCATTTGAGGCTATTTAAGCACCTCAAGAATCTATACGACATCTCATTAGCAAATGACTCTGGAAGCCAACCTGAAGTTTATAAAACTGCAGCTATCCTAAGGACAGGGCAGGGGTAGTGGGAATGTAACAAAAATAATCACATTAGCTTCCAGTATGCTAAGTAGTCAAATATATGATTTCATTTTGATCCCCACTAGGCCAATAAAAATGAGTATTTCCATTTTAAAGGTAAGAAAATCAAGGTATAGGGGTGTTAAGTCATTTGCCCAGATAAAGCCAAGAGTCTTACTGGGGACTGCCTCACACTAATACCCCCTAACGTGAGATTAAAAACTTAAAGAAGGAATAAATGGAAGTGGTGATACATTACCATATCACCACCCGTGATAGAGGAAAGGTCAGGAAAGTGGAGAAAACTCAAAACTGCCACGAGACACTCAAAAACCACAACTGGTGACTTGTGCATCATACAGAGAGATGTAACGTTTGATAAGTTCTAGCAATGGTTTTCTACAGCAATCATGGTAAGAAAAGCTATCCTTCATAATCAATAGATCTCTCATTTTGGGAAAAGCTGCCTCCAGCACTAGCTCCTTATTACCATTCTAGAACGGTGTCCTTGACAGCAATACCACTGCAGCTACCCAAACACCAATCACACCATCTGCTGCTTGAGCAGCAGCAATTCCTAAGGCCGGGAACAAGTATTACTACTTTAATACAACATCCCAATACCAGCAACCAAAACAACCAAACCAAAACAGCTGGTTTACGAAGTTCATCCATGCACCCTGCCAACTATCCCAACACCGACCCAGCAAGTCCGCGCATCAGTGAATCACTAAGTGCCGGGCACTATGCTAGACAGTGACGTTCTCTTCTTCACTTCAGAAGCCCTCCAAACTGAAGTCCAGCATTCCACGTCCCATAAGAACTCACGCACCCAATACCAAATCACAGAGCTCATGCTGATTACAAAACAGGATTTCCTATTAAGAAAATTACAAAGCACCAGCCATAAAATCATATGCATTTAGGGCAACAGTTTGTAACCATGGCTGTGCATTAGAGTCACCGGGGAACTTAAAAATAATGCCAATGCTTGGGCCTCATCCCAGATCAGTTAAGTCAGAATCTTTGGAGTGGGGCTCAGTATGGCTATACTTTTATAGCTTCTCAGGTGATTCAAAAGTGCAGTGAAAGTTGAAAAACACCAAATTTAAGTATTTCTAGAGTGGTAGTTCTGAAAACCTCATAACCCACAAATCTATTAGGTGGTACAAAGACCACAAAGACTCCCTTGCCCATCCATTGCACCTGCCATCTGGGGCTGTATTAAAATGATACATCAATAAAGTGTTCTCTTAAAATCACGGTCCCATCATTTCCTTGTTTATAGCAATTAAACACTAAACATGAGAGTCCTTGAGGTCACTCATGCCCCCCCAGTGAGCCCCAGGCCTCACTGTGAGAACCAGAGCTGACTGGCTCCAGCAGTGAGAGAGTGGATGAGAGGTCCTCAGTCTCCTGCAGCTGAGTGTTCCGGTCACCGGAACAGGGATGTCCAGGCAGAAAGCAGCCTCAGCTCAGTAACCCGTCAAGAGGAAACCTTCACAGTTCAGGCATGATTATCAAACTCTTTGTGCTCTTAAAGGAGAGTAATTATAGGCATGTGAAAAAAGGGAAGCACTCCCTGAGGAACTCTTCCTCACATGCTTCCCAAGAGGCACCAGGGCCATTAAAAATTCCATGATGAAGAGGAAAAACAGCCTGGGAACAGCCAGGAGGCAATACAGCAAATTAATACACCAGCCCTCCTCGGGGAAAGCTGTGATAAAACAGGAAACACTTCTCTCTTCGCAAAATAAAATTATACCACTAATGATAACATAGTCACCACACACACACACACACACACACACACACACACACAAACACACACCCCGTTCTAATGATAGGTGTGAAATTCCCAAGGCTGCCCAGACGCTTTGAAAGAAATCTTTTCCTACTACAAATAAAATGGAACAAGAAAAAGATAAAATTTCCATTCGAAACAGTTTTTAATACAGTCATTCACCTGCCTTTTCCCTGCCACCATGGCTCTTTAACATTCCTTGCTAGACACCAGGCTTTGTTAAACAGTGTCCACTCTGTTCGAAGCCAACCATCCAGCTCCAAAGCCCATCTTATCCTTCAGCCACACCCGAGCTAAATGGCTCCTTCTCAACTGACCCCTTGCTGGGCAGGGACCACCCCCCTCCCCAACTTCAAAGGAGTGGGAGGATGCCCTGAGGGCTCAGGGTTTCAGCACCCACATTTTCTAAAAATTGCTTAGAGGTCGCTTGTGCGGACCATTTCCCACAGAGCCATGGTTGCCAAACTTTACTGACTGCTCCCTCATGAGTAAAACATTTGCACAAACACCCTTTATGTATGTAATACATATACATAAAACAAAAATATGTGCTACTGGATGTCTCTTTATACAATTACAACAAAAAACCATTTTTTAAGGATCAGATAAACTGAAATTTAAAAAATGGCTTCCCCGGGGCGCCTGGGTGGCTCAGTCGGTTAAGCGTCTGCCTTCGGCTCAGGTCATGATCCCAGGGTCCTGGGATGGAGCCCCGCATCGGGCTCCCTGCTCAGCAGAGAGCCTGCTTCTCCCTCTCCCTCTGCCTGCCGCTCTGCCTATCCATGCTCTCTCTCTAGGTCTCTGTCAAATAAATAAATAAATAAATACATAAATAAAACCTTAAAAAAAAAAAAGTAATCCCCTACCCCCAAAGAATGCAACCCACTCTGTATCCACTGCCCTGGGAATGACATCTAGAAGGACAAAGATGAGCTAGAATTGTCCACATTCTCTCACCTGGTTTGTAGCAATGGTCTAAAGCAATAAGCAGTATTTCCCTAGAGCTGACTGCACTAGAAGCACAGCCTAGACCTTCTTACATTTCCAAGTCTGACCACAAGCCCCGCCAGCAGGAGAACGAAGACAATGACGTGGATAGTAAGATACATAACGAAACAAAAAGCTGACGCCCACTCCAGTCAGGATGAGGCTTTAGAAGCAACAGGAAACCTGATAAAAGCATGGATACTGATCTCAGCACAGTAAAGGCACAGCTTTAGGTAACAGAGGTAAAGAGAGGAGGGCAAAGAATCCACTTTCTGCATCTGACAGGATATGGTGCTACCCATATAATCTTCCCAAAGAGTATACATAGCCATTATTTCATGTGGGATTAAGACAAAAAGCTGGAGGACTGCTTTCCAATGCATTGAAATCTTGGGTCTTTCAAGACAGCTTGAGAATCACCACCTCTAAGAAAATTTCCCTGAGCCTCTCTCTGGGCTTTGTATCATTCTAGTGTACATTTTTACACACGTGTCACTTTACACTGTACTGCTGATTTCCATGCCTGGCTTTCTCAAGAGAATGGAAGCTCCTGAGAGTAGTAGCTGAACAAAGAGTCTGGTGCACAGTATGGAGTCAGCAAGTGCTGAGTGAGTGAATGATGAACAAACAGCACACGACTGAAGAGAAGGCCTTATAATTACTTTATTACTACTTGTCCAGTAGAAGGTCTGGCAGTTGGCAACAGGTTATGGGGCAGAATTTATTATTACAGCCCACAGTGGAAGTTCTCATTGGATCTGTGAAAGGATAATTTCCTGTGCTTGCACACCAATCTATGAACATACCATACCCACTTAAGAATGAATTAACAAAAGGAAAACAAAAAACAAAAAAACCCCCACCATATCAGAACCTTGGAAAGAAATCCTTTGTGCCCCTAGAAATAATAAAAGTTCTATGGTTCAACCTATCAGCTCCTCCTTTGTGCACAATAACCCTGCTAGGGGATGCTACCAATAACACCATGTTTACTACCCATGTCATCGAACTCCAGAGAATTTCTGTTGAAAAATGCAGGATTCACTCTGCCACACTGGCAAAGGATTCATCTAACAAATACATACCGAATGTCCAGTAAGTGCCAGACACTATGTTAGGTGCTGGGGATATTATCAGGGAACAAGACAAAACAAAGTCCCCACACTATGAAGCCTATATCCTAGTGAGACAGGAGAAAAAAGCTGTGGGGGGGGAACCCAACAAGCATATTCATTATAGACTGTGATAAAGTTTTAGGGGAAAGAAATCGATGACCAGAGAGAGCAGTGGAGGTGGCCCCTTTAGATAGGATGGTCTGAGAGGTCCTCTCTGAGTTGAGGTGAGAAGTAGCCAACCGTGAGAAGAGGCTTAGCATGGGACTCCAGACAAAGGGAACAAGTGTGAAGGTTCAGGGGCAGAAAAGGGTTGCTATTTTTGATGAACAAAATGGAGCTGAGCTCCCTGGCACAGCTGGACCTCTACCCTAGTGAGGAGTAAGAAGTATAGGAAAGGAGGCTGGACATGCAGGCAGAAGGCAAATTACGCAGAATTTTGCAGGTCAAGGCAAGGACCATTAGTAATGTTCTCTGAAGATGGGGCTTTTAGCCAAAGAAATAGGAAATACAAGTCAGAAGACATAGGGGCACTTGGGTGGCTCAGCTGGTTAAGCATCTCACTCTTGATTTCAGCTCAGGTCTTGATCTCAGGGTTGTGAATTCAAGCCCCATGTTGTCAAAAAAACCAAAAAAACAAAAAAACAATCCATGCTCTAATACAAGTCAGAAGACTTAGGTCACAGTTGCGACTTAAATCACATACTAGCCATGTGATCATAGGAAAGATACTTCAACACTGCCTTGGTTTCTGTATCTGTAAAACATCTACTGGTCTCTAAAGGTTGTTGAAAGATCAAATTGGATATTATATACAAATATACTTTATAACTTGAAGAGTGTTATAAAGGGGCATTGTGTGGAAGAAAACCGCCACCAGAAGACAATTACCTGGCAGAGCAGTGTGCTGGTGAACATCTTCGGTGAGAAGCATCAGTGAGAACATCCAAGGAGTAAAGGGGAGACAGGGGATTAAACTGCAGGAATAAATGAGATTATTTTAGAAAAGCTTATATGAAAAAGACCTGATCCTAGAGTGGCCTGCTGTTTGATTCCTTTGCCCCTTTGACTGTTTGACTCTTTTACCATACCGCAGACACCATTCAGTAAAGTTGCAACCATGAATATAGCATACTGATCCCACACACCTCAAAAAAGGCTATTCCTTGGTAAATAACAATTTTTAAAAACTTCTAATACATGACAATTACTTAAATGGCAGAAGATAGTACTTTCTATTTGACATAACAGGAACTTACGCTATTGATTATTAGCCCTTGTTCCTAAGAAAACTAGCATGAAATTACTTTTTTATTTCCTTATCCTGGTCAGTGTTTCCAGTAAATAACTGGTTAACACATACCAGCAGCCGTTGTTAGTAGAAACAGAACTAGATTAAGAATACCTAACATTTAATTCCAGTCTATCCCTGAGTTGCCATACATTAAAAAATACTACTTTCTTTGAGCTTTACTATCCTCATCTGTATAATGGATGCACTGCTTATCTTACCTATTTTATAGGATTGCTGTGGGGGCTAAATTAAATACTGCTTTCAGTTTATAATTCCAATTTCTCTTCTGTAAAACTTCTATTTATCTCAAAAGGTGGTTGTGAGGATCAAACTCAGATACAATAGAGAAGAAATACCTTACTTTCTGTTTTCTAGCTTTCTATGGACTTCTCCCAGAATAAATAATCCTTCCCCCAAATTTCAGTACTAAATATATCTTAAGACCGGAACTCTAAATGGTAATTTCAAAAGAACTTACAAAGAAGTCTGACTTTGGGCAAATCGTTTAACTCTTATTTGTAAGTAACAGATCTGGACTAGATGATCACCATAGGCCCTCTTCTGCCTCTCGATCCTCTGATGCAAACATAATCAGTACCCTGGCTTCCTGTCTCTCACATACCACCTTAATGACTTTGTATCTGCCCACCACCTGCACTATATTTACTCAATATTTTTCTTCATACCAATTATTTTTACTCAACCTTGTCCTTACTCTTTCTATGGAACAACAAGATTGATAGAATGATTTTTTTTTTCTAATACAAATTATAACTTAAAGTAATAATCAATCATATGTCCACACACCATCTAAAATCATCTCATAAGCACACACCAGTTAGATGTGCCACTGCTCTAGTTCATTTTGAAATAGTAACTTCGGGCGCCTGGGTGGCTCCGTTGGTTAAGCGACTGCCTTCGGCTCAGGTCATGATCCTGGAGTCCCTGGATCGAGTCCCGCATCGGGCTCCCTGCTCGGCAGGGAGTCTGCTTCTCCCTCTGACCCTCCCCCTTCTCATGTGCTCTCTCTCATTCTCTCTCTCTCAAATAAATAAATAAAATCTTTAAAAAAAAAAAAAGAAATAGTAACTTCAAAAGGAAGGTTCCAAGTCTAAACTGTACATCAATTTAGTAAGTCCTAAGGAGTCAAAACACAAAATAAAAACCGCTGAGCAACAGGGCGCCTGAGATTTCTACCTACCAGTCTTCACCTATTTTATACCTAATCGAGATAAAGCAACCTCTATCCCCACAAAAAAATCAAAAGCTTCAAACATTAAAGGAACATACTGATAGCCACTGTCAGTAATTTTTAAATTATGACCCCTATAAAGGCCTAGATTTGCCAAGGGCCCTCTCCAGCCAGGGAAGAGACTAAGAGACTAAGAGGGCAAGGCTCACTCCCAGCAGCCCTCCCTCCTGTTTCTTATGCTCAGATCTCACCATTGTACTTCTCAGTATACGATGCTGGTGCTGAACTGAACCATAAACCCAACGAGGTTCATTCTGATTTCTTACTGCAAAGTTCAAAACTAAAATAAAAATAGGATCCCTATGAAATATGCATTACAAGTAATAAACACAAAAAAAAACCACAGTTGAACCTAAAAAAGGGAATTAGCTACAGTTCTTATAGTATCAGATAATCTTAGACAACAGTCCTCTAAAAAAACCATAACATAGGACCTTACCTCATGTGCACAAGCAGAAATGTGAGGAAAATCAGAAGCCAATGCTTTATTCTTTCTAAAGAAAAGGAGATCAAATGATAAAATAAAGATGACAAAGAAAAGCGATCTTACCTGATTTCGTTCTCTTTTCCCAGCTGACGGTAACCAGAAACTAAAGAGAAGGAGAGAACAACAGAAAGAAAACAATAAAAGAAGCAATTGGAAATTATAGGGGAGGAGCAGAAAAAAAGATGTTGGGGTAACCAAGTGAAGATGAAGAAAGAACTGGGGAAAAGAAGGAACTGGAGGAGAAAAGGAGAGGGATGGTAAATGTACACAAACGTTTTTTGTGAAAAATAACTCTTCAAAGGAAAAAGCCTTATAATGAAATGTAAAACACTGGACTCTCTAAAAACAAACCCACCAAAATACTCTCACCTGTGTAGTGACAACAGGATCCCCAAATTCAACAAGAACACAAAACATACAAACAACAAATTTGACCAGGCTAACGAGTATAGGATCACAACTAGATATTAACCATGAAGCACACAGGAGACATCAAATAGCCAATCATGTTAGGGGACAAGGCTGTCACAAGAAAGGGGGGGCAATACTTTTCCTATAACACAGGCTTTCCAGTTGCATGTCCACAGTAGCGAAGACAAAAAGATATTATCTTTAGACAGAGGTCTAAAAATGGGAAAAGCAGCCTATAGGAGAATACAGAGGCATTTTGAACAAAAAAATTTTAAGAGACAGAAAAATTAGCTTAAAATATAACATTCTGTAAAGGAAGAAGTAAAACTATCAGTTTGCAGATGACATGATGCCATACATAGAAAACCCTAAGGACTCCATCAAAAAACTGTTAGAACTGATAAACGAATTCAGCAAAGCTGTAGGGTACAAAATCAACGTACAGAATCTGTTGTGTTTCTCTACACTAATAATGAACTATCAGAAAGAGAAATGAGAAAATAGGCCCATTTACAATTATATTAAAAAGAATAAAATACCCACAAATAAATTTAACCGAGGAGGTGAAAGACCTGGACACTGAAAACTACAAGACACTGATGAAAGAAACTGAAGACACAAATAAACGGAAAGATATTCCGTGCTCATGGACTGGAAGAATTAACACTGTTAAACTGTCCATACTACCCAAAGCAACCTATAGATTCAAGTCCCAATGGCATACTTCACAGGACTAGAACAAATAATTCTAAAAATCTGTATGGAACCACAAAAGACCCCGAATACCCACAGCAATCTTGAGAAAGAACAAAGCTGGAGGTATCATGCTCCCTGGTTTCCAATTATACTACAAAGCTATAGTAACCAAAATACTAGGGTATGGGCATAAAAACAGACACACAGATTAATGGAACAGAAGAGAGAGCCCATGCAAATATGGTCAATTAATTTACAAAAGAGGCCAGAATATACAATGGGGAAAAGACAGTCTCTTCAATAAGTGATGTTGGGAAAGCTGAACAGTCACATACAAAAGAAGAAAACTAGATCACTATCTTATACCATACACAAAAATTAATTCAAAATAAATGGATTAAGGACTTGAATGTAGAACTTGAAAGCATAAAATTCCTAGAACACATAGGTGGTAAGCTCCTTGTCACGGGTCTCTTTTGATTTTTTTTTTTGGCGGGGGGGGGCTTGTCTGACTCCAAAGGCAAGGGAAACAAAACAAAAATAAATGGGACATCAGACTAAAAAACTTCTGTGCAGCAAATTATCAATAAAACAAAAATGCAACCTACTGAATGGGAGAAGATATTGCAAATCATATATCAGATAAAGGATTAACATCCAAAATATATAAAGAACTCATATAACTCAACAATAAAAAACCCCAAACAATCCAATTAAAATATGGGCAGAGGGCATGAAGGACATTTCCCCAAAGACATACAGGCCCACAGGCACATGAAAAGATGCTCAATATCACTAATTTCAGAGAAATGAAAATCAAAACCACAATAAGGTATCACCTCACACCTGTTAAAATGGCTATTATCAACAAAACAAGAAATAACAAGTGTTGTTGAGGATGTGAAGAAAAGGGAATCTTAGTACACTGTTGGTGGGAATGTAAACTGGTGCAGCCACTCTGGAAAATAGTATGGAGATTCCTCAAAAAATTAAAAATAGATCTATCATATGATCCAGCTATTCCACTTCTGCATATTTATCCAAGGAATATGAAAACACCAACTTGAAAAGATATATACACCTCTATGTTCACTGAAGCATTATTTACAATGGCCATGATATGTAAACAACCTAAGTGTCCATCAACGGATAAAGAACATGTGGTGTATACATAAATATACATACACACAACGGAATACTACTCCATCATAAAAGAGAAGGAAATCTTGCCATTTGTGACAACATGGATGAACCCTGAGGGATTAGGTTAAATGAATAAGTCAGAGAGAGAAGACAAATACTGTATGATAGCATTTATATATGGAAGCTAAAAACAAAACAAATGAAAGAATAAAACAAAACAAAACAAACTCATAGATACAAGGAATGGATTGGTGGTCCCAGAGAGAAGGGGGTTGAGGGGTGGGTGAAAGGGCTCCATTTCAAGCTGAAGTATGGCACCTAGATTTATGGTGATGATCACTTTGTAGTGGACACAAATATTGAATTACAATGTTCTACACCTGAAACTTATGTAAAGTTATACATCAATCCCAATCAATATAAATAAATAAATAGTAACATCCTGATTGGAGGCTACTTTTATAAAGCAGCATCTATATATATAAACAGCAAAGAAATAAAAATTAGTCTAGAAAGGAAAAAAAAATCACTCTCATGAGATTAGAGCATTAGCCATGTTAACAGTTGTAAAGTACAAATCTTCAAGATCTCATTCAGCTCAGAATTCTAGGTTCCTTCGTAAAACTTCCCTCTGCCTCCTACTCCAAGGAATGGGCTAGGATAATGAGTAAATATATAAGCACTTACTCCTTCTGCCGAGGGTCACTAATGATGTGGCCTATTCTCTCAGTACTTATGCTGGTCTCCTGCAAAGGCAAGGAAGACAAGAGTGTCATCTAAACACAGAAACAAATAAAGTATGATCTGATATCAAGTTCACACTTTCCCATAACTGTGCCAGCAACCTCAAAGGCACATGTCAAATGTCAATCTTAAAATCCAAGAGCAAGTTTATTTCTTTTTATGGGAATCTATCTTAAAAGTGTTACATTATTCTAGACTTATTTTTCTCTAGTGTTCCAAAAAAGTCATTACAAACCTTGTTTACTATAGATAGCATTTTAATAGTGAGTTTTTTGGTTTTTTTTTTTAAAGATTTTATTTATTTATTTGAGAGAGAGAATGAGATAGAGAGCATGAGAGGGGGGAGGGTCAGAGAGAGAGGCAGACTCCCTGCTGAGCAGGGAGCCCGACGTGGGACTCGATCCCGAGACTCCAGGATCATGACCTGAGCCGAAGGCAGTCGCTTAACCAACTGAGCCACCCAGGCACCCAATAGTGAGTTATTAAAGTATATAGAACTTAACAGGCTGCATACCAACCTCCCCAGATCATATGATTACAGCCCCAATAGCCTTCATAATGGGAAATTTACCCAGTCCTCACTGGTAACACCTAACATCTGCTGACTAAATGTACACATATTAAAGGAATTTTGTAACTTACAAAAACTGTTACCCTGTCTTATCTCTTAAGCATCATCTCTTAAAGTAAAACAGAAGTTTATACAAATTGGTTCTTAAATTTAGGGCTCTTAAGATTGTAATATGAAATCTTACCCATAACACCACAAGCAATTCAGAAACTAACTAATCATCTCCAAAAAATTGAAAAATGGCACAAGGCACTCACCCTTTACTTAACTTGAGTACATTTACAATGAATGTCTATCACAGTACCTGGGGAAGCGCACCAATGGTACATGAGTAAGAGTTACGCACATCAGAGTAAATGTTAAGATGAGCGCGTGTAAGTCATGGGCATGAATGTCAAGAACGTGAAGCCTGTTACTCAAACACATTTGTTACTGGGCAAATATTATGATCGGTATTCATTTGTGTGTGGATTAGCCTAAAATATTAGGGTACAATTGACTATAGAAAAATTAATTTGAGGTCAGATTCTGGGCGGGAGTGGCGCTAAATGAAAAGGTTTCACATACTGTATTCCTCACATTCTTCATCCATTACGCACATGCCTCCTGGTCACAGACACAGCCATAATAGTGGGACCAAGGGAAAGGACAGGTGAAAAATGAGCTATTTGTTACTGCAGAAAAATTATTAACTTAAAGTGCCGTAATGTTTAAATTTACAGTTTATTACTGTGTAAATTACAAGCAGTACTTTGCGTAATTAGCAGCTCGCTGGCAGGGAGCTGTGAATGAAACTCATTATTTATGATTACAATTTAGAAAAAGAGAAGAGAGGTGGGGGAGGGGAAAGAAGGGGGGGCAGAACATTGACCTCTGCTAAAATGACAAATATCCCTTTAAGGTGATGAAGATGAATTAAACAAGTAAATATTATCCTATTCATTTGAAATTCTTAGTCACACATCCAATAGGCCCTAGAGTTTCCTTCCAGGCAAGCTAAAGGGAGCCTTCAAGACAAACTGATTTACTTCCATGGAAGTGGAAGGCTCTTATTTTACAGGAGCTGAAACAAAGTAAGGTAGATAGTAGGTAGAACATTATCTTTCAAGTCTAACTGACAAAGAGAAAAAGTAAAACCATCTCTCTGTTCCCTATTTCCAACCTCCTGCCTCCCTCCACCTTACGTATTCCTACCCATTAGCTGTCCTGTTAACTAAGAATAAGCTCCCAGAACAGTGAAAGCAGCATTTTAATGTCTGTGAAATCAATGAGGCAAAAGAAAAAGGTATCATTCTTCCAATAATCAAATGTCTTTCTAATTAAGAGATTTGAAATTAAATTTAAAGATTAAAAATATTTAAGTTCACCTGGAAATAAATAGCTTCATTTCTTTTACATAGCTAAAATTTCAGAAAACGGTTCCTTATTTCAACTACAAAACAGTAGCCCCCTGAGGGTAGCCAGGCTGTGGCTGTGATCACTATGTACCTGGCCTGGCACAGAGCCTGACACATAGCAGGCATTCTAAATGTTTATGCAATGAACGCATTAATGCTCTGAAATTGCCCTTTGCCCACCACCATCCTCTCTAACTAGGTATGAGCCCCAGTCTTAACCTACCTTCAATCTCAAAGCTAGAGTAAAAAATTAAAGTAATTTTTAGGGGCACCTGGGTGAGTCAGTTAAGTGTCTGCCTTTGGCTCAAGTCATGATCCCAGAATCCTGGGATCAAGCGGTTCCCTGCTCAGGAGGAGTCTGCTCATCCCTCTCCCTTTACCCCTCCCCCCGACTTGTGCTCTCTCTCAAACTAATAAATAATCTTCAAAAAAATTAATAATTTTAAAAGATAAAAGAGAAGTACAGCTGGGTTCAATCCTCTCTTCTGTAACTTCTATCTGGGTAATATTAGACATTACCTAGCTTCTTTGAACCCAAGTTTTCCTCATCTGCTAAGTGGGAATATCACCTGTTCTATAAGGTTGTTAAGAGGACTAAATGAACTGAGTGCCCAGTACAGTCTCTGACAAAGGCAGAACTGAACATGGAGAGTCCTCCCATGTAGCCAAGGAGAAGTTTTTGAAATCTGATAACAGGTTTTCTTTTTCTTTTTTTTTTTTTTTTTAAGATTTTATTTATTTATTTGAGAGAGAGAGAATGAGAGAGAGCACATGAGAGGGGGGAAGGTCAGAGGGAGAAGCAGACTCCCTGCTGAGCAGGGAGCCCGATGTGGGACTCGATCCAGGGACTCCAGGATCATGACCTGAGCCGAAGGCAGTCGCTTAACCAACTGAGCCACCCAGGCGCCCGATAACAGGTTTTCTTTCCAGTTTTTTACTTTTTAATGAATTCTAGAATAAAAGACCAAAGTGAGGACAGAAGAAGCATTCATGAATTTAGGAGTTAATAAAGAAGCCAAGAGTATTTTAACTTCTACAATAATAATATAAGGTTAATCAAAAGAATAGAAGGGAAAAGAGCAGGCCTGTAGATTTATAGACAGTCATAACAGTATTTGCTTTGTCAAAACTTCTGTACGAGTTAAGCTTCATCTTTTATGTGTGTATCCATTTATAGCCTCCATTAAGGTTCACTCTTGTGAATTTGCAAAATATTTCAGTTGGCTTAATTTACTCCAAGGAATTCTGCAGCACCTTTGCTTATCAACAGGGTACACAAATCCCACAGGGAATCCTGTCCTCCCAGTCTCCCAGTGAGCCCAGTAGACAGTAAGAGTGGTTACCTTCCCAACAAGCCTTCTTCGGCCCTTTCTGAGGCATCGAGCTGCAGCTCCAGGCAGACGATTCAAGCGGGCATGGTACCCTAAAAAAAAGAAGAAAGTCCTCAGAAACGGAATGCAGAAGATTCATTAGCAATGGTAGGCTTCTAGTACACCAAAGGCCCTCCTTCCCAGGATCTTACTAGACTGACTCTGAAATTATTATCACTAGTCTTTTTGCCAAGGATTTATTATTCTCATGTCTTTGCAGTATGATCTTAAGTGTGTGTGTCTTTACCTCTGACCTAGGCATCTTCACCTAGAAAGGAGGGATAATCACTCGCTCAGTCCTATCATCCAGGGCTGATGTGAAGACTCAGTGAAATAGCACAGCAAAGGTACTTTATAAACTGAAAACACTACAAAAATAAAAGGCATTATCAACAATTTCTAATTATAAATTAAATGCTTATTTCAAAAACATTTAAGTCATAGAATAATAGTAAAAATAGCCTGTATAGTATAATCCCATTTTTCTAATTGCTGTATATATTCTATACATAAAAAACACAACTGGAAGAATCCACACCCAAGTGTTATCAATGACACTGTCTCTGGGTATGGAATTACAGGCCATTTTAAATTGTTCTCTTCCTGTTCTTATTTGTGTGCATTTTAAGTGGTCCATTAAGAACTTTCAGAAATTGTCGCTGAAATGTTTGATGCACGTTATTAAGATAGCAAATATGTGCTTCAGCCAGGCAATAATCTTTACCAAGAGCCAACTGTTTTGAGAAAGACTTTCAATCACCCAAATTTATCATAACAAAATGCTATAGGAGTTTACAGCTCTGGGCATAATTCTGTCCACCAAGAGATGCCCAACAAATACTTGATAACTGATTGATTGATTACTGGGCACCCCAGAATCATAAATTTATAGAGCTAAAAGAAACCTCTGAAACAGTTTGCTCAAAGCCGCAATTATTTTAAGTGATGACCCCCATGTCCCAAGGAAATGAAGTGACTCTGTCATAGTCAGAGCTAGAAGACAGTACCTGAGAGTATTATCACCCCAGTTCCTTCCCCCTGTCCTAGGCTCTTTCCACTCTACCCTGCTATATCATAAGTAAAGGAAAAGCAAAGGGAAAGGATGTACTTGTGTTTAAGTCCACAATAATAGAATAAAATAAAATTATTTAATGAATTATTTTAAAATCATCCAATTAAAAAAATGTCATTATACCCTGTATGTGAATGTTCTTACTGAAATGTGTTCTCTTCCAAGATCCAATACTTCAGGCTCCCATTGAGCACTCCATAGCCCATCAGTTTCACAGCAGGTAAGCAGCAGTGACACACTGCTAGGCTTCCTAAATCTGGCACAAATGGCAATAGCAAGCTGAAGGAATGTCCTGCTAACAGATATCCCAAGAGTCTCCATGGGTTGCTTTAGGTACGAATGGAGAACCTCAAGCTTTTGAGACTCACCCTTTAATCTTCTAGAAAAATCCCTGGACTAGCTCCAAAATTCAGAGTTAATGCATGCTTAGAGGCATGAGTATGCTTGCCATGGGATGATTCTCTCCAAAGAGAACCATAAAAATGTGAAGTGTATTTTGGTCTCCAGAACTTACCTCTTTGAGCTGGTCGAGAAGGTAAAAGGAATGTGGAATCGGAAAGTTTATCCAGTCCAGAATCCATTCTTTCTACTTCAGGGCAATGATCAGGAGCCCACTTCGGCAGAAGATTAGGGACAGTGAATCCTGGGACACATTCTCCCTCATAGAACCAATCACTCTGCTCATCATCCCCTAAAGTAAAAAGATGGTATCGTAAGTTGGAATTTTAACATGTTCTATGGAATACCAAATGGGACAATGATTTCTCAGAGCTATAGATTTGATCATACTTTTTAAATAAAATCAAAGTATAAAAAAATTGTTTTGAACCTTCTTTTTTATCTATATTATGATGAAAACTAGAGTATGAAACTAGTTTCACATAAATGTTATACTGTGGTACACTGGACTTTTTTTGAGAGTAAAAAACTAATAAAGCTACCATTTACTAAACCCTTACCACCTGTGAGGGTCCATGCTAAAAATCTGTCAGTATGCTATCTCTTCTAAACCCTACACTAATTCCAACTTATAAATGAGGCAATTAAAGCCCAGAGAAGGCAAGATCGAGTTAGTAAATGATGAAGCCAAGATGTGAACCCAAAGCCTGACTAACTCCAAAGCCTTTGACACAAAAATAAGTTGCCTCTTATGTACCATTCTGTGATATAAATGGACTTGGGGGTTCACAGCCCACAAATGTTTCTCAATTCAAAACTAGCTATTCCAGAGGGATGTTATATTTGCATTTCTCATAATAGGTGAATTAAAAATGTATACCCATACCTCAATTCTTCCTTGGTACCCCATTAATGGGACAGAAAAATCATCTTGACATTAGCAATCCAAGCAACCAGGAAAAACCTAACCACAGGGACAAGCAATAAAATCCTCCAAGGCTTGTCATAAAGTTACACCATTTGCCCAAGGCCAGACTCTTCATCAATGACAAAGTCAAGACTAGACCCATATAGCCAGACTCTTGGCTCAAACCTCTTTCTACTGGCTAGGATGACAGCATCTCAGTTTGCAACGGAACTTGTTCCTGCCCACAAAAAGTAGTACGACAGATAACTTTAGGTCTGCCACTCCATACTCCTTTCAAAATAGCAAGGATGAAGGGAATTACTACAAGAACATCTAAAGAGTTCATGGTGCATTCATTCTCTAATGTTTGCTGGATCCCAAGGAAAACTGCTCAGGCCATGTTAAGCACATGAAGTATCAGATTCATGGGCCACTAACATGGGCCAGGATAATGATAACTCTTAACTCACGCTGGAGATCTCTAAAAGGGAAAATGAAAATGCCCGTAAAAAAGTTACTCAAAGTGTTCCCTTATAAAAACACACCACCAACAGCTGTTTCTCTAGAACAGTGGTTCTCAAACTTCAGTGTACATCAAAAGGAGCAGAAAGTGTCATCAGAACACAGACTGCTGGGCCCCACCCCCAAAAGTTTCTGATTCTGGTCCAGGAAGGATCAAAAATTTACATTTCTAACAAGTTCCCTAAGTGATGCTGAGCTGACTTCAGGACCACATTTTGAGAATCACTACCCTCACCAAACCATGTACACAAGATGAACTAAAGACAGGCTTTAGAATTAACAATGTTTAGTTTCTCTGCATGTCGATATATTAATTCCTTTCTTATTCGTAAGCATTCCTTAGGCCATTTATTAAAACAGTATAGTTAGCTAGATCATACTTCCTGAAGACTAATGGCATCCCATAATGGCATTTTTTTGGTTCTTAAGCATTCACTCAAGATTTCTGGCAATATAAAAAGGGACTCACTGAATTGGAGGAAACCTTGTGAAGTCATCTAGACCAGTAGTCCCCAACCCTGGGTTCACTAGGATGCATGATGCAGTAGCTCCCCCAAAAGACTACTGCCAGAGAATAAGGAAGAGGCTGATGAGTCAGGCTCCGGACTTCCTGCTCCTCCTGCTTTAACCAAAATAGGGTTAGCTGTTTTATAATCTGAGGTTCTATGTCTAATTCTGTTTGAGGGAAAAAAAGGAGAATTTCCCCCTTATCTGGCCTTCCCAGTAACTAATTATTAAAGAGTCTACCATATGCCAGGCAATGTGTTACCCACTGTAGTTTCAAATAATAAAAAAAAATTCCTGCCTTGGAAGGCTTCAATGGAAAAGACACACATCTATAAACAATAACATCATATGGTAAGTGATAAGAAAGCACTAAGTATAGAGAAAGAAAGAGTAAGGGTTCTAGGAGATGAGACCTACACTGAGTGTTTATCAGTCGGAATCCTCAGGAAACGCACACACGTTTAAATGGGATAACTGAGACTTTAATGAAGTGACTCTTTACAAAAGTGTAGACGGTATTAACAGAAACCAACAAGGGACGGTGAAGCACCCTGGAGCCAGCACAGTGGGGATTCTTTACCCTTCCTAAACCTGAAGCAGCAAGGAGAAAGAATGGTTATCAGAGACCAGAGAGAAAACGGAGGTTAGAGAAGGCTGCCCAACAGAAAGGGAGCCAGGGAAAGCTACAATGATGTATAATTATCCAGAGGTTTAAGAAAGTGTGGAGAGATTAAGTGTTGGGCCTTAGGAAAATGACAGATTAAATGTTAAATGTTAAATGACAGATTAAGTGTTTTTGGTTCTAATAAAATTAGCAACTTCCTAAAGTCCCATCCTTGACACTATATTCCCCTAATCACTGATTCTCAAAGCCTGAACTACCTGCATAAAAATCACTGCAGGGGGCGCCTGGGTGGCTCAGTTGGTTAAGCGACTGCCTTCGGCTCAGGTCATGATCCTGGAGCCCAGGGATCGAGTCCCGCATCGGGCTCCCTGCTCAGCAGGGAGTCTGCTTCTCCCTCTGACCCTCACCCCTCTCATGCTCTCTCTCTCATTCTTTCTCTCAAATAAATAAATAAAATCTTTAAAAAAAAAAATCACTGCAGGTACTTATGAAAAATTCAGATGACAGGGGCCAACTTAGACCTATTTGATTTCTAGGAGCTCAGGAATTTTAAGAGGTGGCCTTTAAATGCTCTAAAGTTTGAGAACCACTGCCATAAACCACCACCGTATTCTCAAGTGAGTCACTCCTCTGATCATTAAAACCTCCCCAGAAATACCGAACCAACAGCCCAAAGCTGGGATCAAGATTACCTTGCCGTCCTTCGTCGTTGGTAAAGAGCCCTGTGTCACTGCTGCTACATACACTGCTGGTTTCACTGGAAAAAGAGTCAAACACAAGAGAACACATCAGCTCCTGTGCAGAACACAGCAGTGCCCGTTCTGATCTTCAAATCTAACACCCCAAGTTTCCCTGATTTCACTCCAGCTCATTAGCCAGTCACAAATGTACATTTCATAATCAGGCCAAAGAGGAGAGCTTATTTTCCCATAAAAATAAAAGGAAAACTCTAAAACCTTTGCTTATATTTCAAAGTACTTTATAAACATCTAAAGTCACCCTGTTAGGTTAGCATTAGAAAGCTATTTATTAAGGCTCACAGAAGTAATCTCAACCGGTCTGGGTATATCAAACACCACAAATTTTCACATTTATCAACCCATTTTATTTATAAATACTATCAACTATCAGTTTCAAATGAAGCTATCCAACTTTAAGACATCTAACATCTATCAAGTTTTCTCCCCATTTACACAACAGCTAACAAAAATCCATGAACAGAAAAATAGTCAGTATGACCGAAGTTATGTTTTCTAAATTTAATGTCTTGCTGATATGAAGTGGGTACAACAACACTCATTTTCAAAACAGAAGGTTAAAAGTAAAAATATAAGAACAAACTCCATTTGAACCCACTGAAATAAAACTTTTGCCCTATAGAATTCTGTTCAACTGGCTGCATTTCCTGAGCTATCACTAACAACTGATTCTGCCTCTTCCGATGCTGCATTTCTTTTGCCTAATCTTCATTAAATTTGACTGATCTGGTTCAAGAAAAATTTCTCTATTCTTTACAGTATGAACTATTTTCTTAAGTGGGAGTGTTTCCTTCCACGCTAGCCAATTTTTTTCACCTACTCTACAAGATGGAAGAAACCAAAGCAAGGAAGAAACATTCTCATCGTATTGCATAAGGAATAGGCTTGGCAAAATCACAGTCTACATTTCTGGATCAAAAATCTGAAAATATTTTGTATTTTGCAACATTTCCAAATATCTTGCCAACACTAAATCCTTAAAATGCTGATTAAATTAAGTAGCAATGCCTTCTTCACTTAAGTTTATCTCTGAATAGATCCAAGAAATTTGCTGTAGCATGAGCCATAAAATGTACTCGATTTCTTTAAAGGTTCTTCCATTTTATTTTCTTCTGTACTTGTAAGTGGGAACTTTCTCAGGTGTCATTCCAAGAAATGTCTCACAAAACTATGACTGGATTCTGATGGATTTAGAATCTTCAAAGAGCTCTGTAGTTAAATCCAGAAGATATCCCCACTGAGTTCTGCACTCTTCCTACTGCTGAGTTCAAGGAACTGTGCCTGCTGAATGTAATGGTGTTATTTTTGTGCTTTTAGCAAATTCCTAAGGGTATCAGTGGTCTAACTCCCTTGAGTCTTACTACACATTCTCTCTTATTACTACTTTATTATCCTCATCTGGCCTCAAAGATAAAGCAAATTTGACATTTTTTAACTCTTCTTGAGTGGAGTAAGGAGTGCTTAAAAAGCACATTAGGCCATGGAACAGATACTTTAGCCCACCATCATGTCATATACTTTATTAGTTAGCAGTATCACTAACTGAGATTTAGGGATCAGCAAACAACAGCCTGCCACTTATTTTTGCAATAACCTGTGAGCTAAGAAGGATTTTTATGGTTTAAATGACTGGAGGTAAAAAAAAAAAAATCATTTTGTGACATGTGGGAATGATATGAAATTCAAATTTCAGTGTCCATAAATAAAGTTTTATTGGAACACAGCCACAGTTATTCATTTACATATCATCGATGGCTGCTTTCACACTACAACTGCAAAGTTGAGTAGCTCCAACACTGAACATATCGCACACAAATCCCTAGAATATTTACTATCTGGCCTTTACAGAGGAAGTTTGCTGATCCCTGCTCTGCATGTATTACAAGTTCTACTCTTGAGTATTTAGAATTAAAAAATTAAAACTGTTTGCTTTATTACAAAATCTATCAGTTCTTTTCCCCATCCATTTCCAGTCACCTATCAGTACTACACAAGATACAGTGCTTCCTTGATCCTTTTTTGCATGGATTCCACTCTCTCCTCATATTCTAAACAAAGGGGGCAAACTCAAAGAAATCTGCTGGATCAAGAAAGGCGTCGGTAACCTAAAGCCTCACACACATTTCCTATTTTTGTCAACATCATTTAAGAAGACTCACTGTTTTTGAAAAAACTTGGATTAGACTTGTCTAAGCTTTCCATATAGAGTTAATTTGAGGAATGGCAATGTCACAGAAATATCAGCAGGATTTTAAGACTATGATCAAGGGAGATAGATATTTTCTTCATAAAGAAAATCTGTCTTACAGAATGCTTATTACACAAAAGTATCACCAGTCTACCGGTATCTGGAAATGACTATTTCATCAGATAGCATCTGCTAATTCTATTTACTCTCTCAGAAGGACTTGCATTGTGGAAATCTAATCATATGTAAAAAATCGTTAGCATAATTTGGTGAAAACAAAAGTGGGAACTTTGTGGCATGTCTGCACATAAACACTATGATACAGCATGCCAAAATGTAGTGCTAGCTAGAAAGTAGAAGCAAATATTTCCCCTTCCAAGTTACAGGCCAAAGTTGTCCAGTCCTGCAGACTTCATTCACTTCTGGCTCAAAGGTCATGACTTCTTTGAAAAAAATCATATTGGTGGGACTTTAATAACGATTTAGTCAACTATAAAATGTTAAGTTAGCTAATTAAACAGAATGTTTAGTATTTCATTAAAACTAAGCTCATATCTTTGAATAAACACAAGTCTCTTTTAGCACCTTTGTAGTTAAAAGATGTCAGAATCCTACATGTTTTTCTTATTCCAAAACCTTCAAATTGGTTTATAACTTTTTTGCTATGAGTATTTTTACCAGGCAAGGAGAAAAAGCTCTGCTCCTCACTTTTGTAAGAAAAAAGTATGATCCTACCTTTAGCGTCCACTCTACTTGTGGTGCTCCGAAGCTTAGTCAGGAAGACAGAAACTCAGCCTTTATTAATCTTCAGAAAAAGTAACTAGACAAAACCCACAAAGATAGTAGGTGTGAAATCTTGTCTTTTCCTAAAATGGCAGCAATAGAGGCATCAATGCCTCCTGTCTTTGCCTTGGGAGCTGTTCTGTACTCCCTGTTCTCACATGATTCTAACTATAAATAGTTCGCATACAAAAAAAAATCTTCCTAGAATATCTCTAAAATTTCTAAAAATGTATTAACCCTACAAATAATTTATACATCATTCAAAAAATTCAATCCCAAATTGGGGCAATAAGAAATTTCTCACAGAAAAAGGAGGACGAATTCCTACCCCCATTTCTCCTAAGCTTTCACTCATTCACTTAGTAAGCATTTATTATTTACCATATACCAGAAACCACTCTACTCAGTACTAAAACTAACAAAGAAACATGTCAGTAACAACATAAAGGTGTACATTTTATTAAAAACCTAGTCCAGACTACGGGAGAAGGCTGTGAAAACAGAGAAAGAAGAATGCTTTCCAATGAATAATACTCTGCAAATAAGGGGGTGGGCAAGCCTACAACCTTATGACACTGAGGAAACCGCCCCATTTCAGAAGCTAGAAAACACCTCAAAAGCACTCCTCTGTGAGTAAAAATAGTAATAATATATAACACTTCTCTACAGTGGTTTTCACTAAAAAATGTCCCACACTTAATTCAGCAGCATAGCCACCATTTTAAGTAAGACACAAATAAAATTAAAGCCTGGGTTTTAGACCACCAATTGTGTTACCTAATTATTATAATATTGTCAGAAAAGCAACTGAACCACATCCAACTGAAATAACGGATAGGTAAAGGAAGTCACCCTACCCTGCAGTTCCAGAGGCTTTCCTCCGCCACCATTTTATAATGAAAACTTCTGAACATATGAAAAAGTTGAAAGAAGTTCCAGTTACCACTCACACTCCATCACATCTACTGACATCACACACTGCAATTAACATTTTGCTTTTTCTGTTTTATCACACATCTATATATCTAAACTTCCCACCTGGGCATCTGTAATTCAAGGCACTCTTGGTAGACCAGATGACTGGGCATGGCATCTACTCTCAGAGAAGTAGACTATCATAGGAATCAAGCTTAACAAAACACTACTGATACCCCTCAGTGACTTGAATAATTAATTCCAGGGCAAACACTCTTAGCCAAACACTGTATATGCCTTGGTATAAACTTTAAAATGCTATCATTTGAACTGCTCTTCTTTCCAAATTCTGAAAATGAACTGTTTGCCCTTTAGAGGAGCAATTAAAGGGTATTTTTTCAAGTTAGCAAAAGCTCTCAGTTAAAAAAGTTTTAAAAACTACAGTATTTTTATTCTACAGAAGAGATCAGTGTTTTGGTCTTACTAAGTTCTCTAACTTTGAAACTCATGCCTGTTGGTAAAAGCAAAGTCAATGAAGTGAAAACCCTATCTCAGCACTTAGAAACATCAGCAGTAGCTCTCAACTCAAAGCAATTTTACCCCCTTCATCGCCCCCACCCACCCTCACCCCCACCCTGCACCCACAGGGTCATTTGACAATGTCTGGAGAAACATTTTGTCAGGACTTGGGAGCACTGGAGGGAGAGCTGGTATCCTACTGGCATCTGTTGGGTAGAGGCCAGGATGCTGCTAAACATCCTACAATGCACAGGACAGCCCTCACAACAGAGAATTATCTGGCTCAAAGTTGAGAACCCTCATGATAGTGATGAACAAGCTACAAGATGGAGTGGGCAGGGCATCATGTTAAAGGAAACACCACTTCAGAGGAGGAGAGGAGGCTGTGCACTTCTGCTGGATAAAACCAGCCTTCAGGGAGAGAGGTCAACAACCCATAGTAACAACAATGTCATTCTCTTGCCAGGGCCTCAGAGAGCCTGAGGCCTCTGGATCCCAGGAATCATGAGAAGGTAGCTGGACCTTCAAGCCAACTGGTAAACTGAAACTACTCAAGCAGTACAGATGGCCCCTCCCTGCCTAGCCCAGGCAGAA